ATCATCACCAAAAGTTGCAAAATCTGCAGTTATTACGCGAAGAATCGCATCAGTTCGTATATAACTGTCATGTTCCGAGTGACACAACATGAAGTACTTCTCACAGACTTTTGACTCAGATCGAGTTCCACCTGACACGGGCCGTGTCAAATTTCTGTGCAACATGAATTTTTCCTCAGACAATCAACACGGTTCAAGTTAAATCTAACATGGACCGAGTTACATTTCTGTAAAGAAAATTTCGTTTTCGTCATGAAGACTGAGTTCTACTTCACCCGAGTTGAGGTATACCTCACTCACAAATCGAACAACTTTACTGCCAAACACATATGTGTTTTACCGATCCATATTATATCATTTACGAATATTTAACTCCTCCACCATATCCGTAATACATATAACTATGAATCTTTTGAGAGATTAATATTAAACCACATTCATTTACTCTAAAAATACCAACACAGGTGAGGGAAGCATTCAGTCCCCAGGAGCATAGTCGGTCTGATGTCAGCAGACGGTTCTTGACCCCAACCATGTAATGAAGGAGTGCTTCTTGTTACCACGGCACAGGGGGGGCTGATCAATTTGAATCCAAACCTTCTTCGACCAAAACTTGGGCCGACCTGTGGTGGAGAACGAGTCTGACCAGTAGTAACAGTCTTCCCAGACTTTAGTCGAAGGTAACGGTTGTTCAAAGATGGAGCATTGGAATGCTAATGCGTCATCGGATCTAAAGGTCTAATAAGGCAACTCAACAAAAATTATACAATACATGTATCCAACATAGTTATGTATGCATATTTGGACTATCTTTACCTTTTTCTTTTAGCGATCTACGCTGCCCCATTGCCACTGCCACTGCCACCACATCATACCCCTACAAGAACCATGTTTTCTGCAAGACAAGATAATGTCACGAGGGAGGCAGCATGGAGAGACGGGAACTAAAGATTATTAGAAGATAGTAAAGGGCCATGATATCAGCCACATTATCACTTGTCTTCACGTTTTCTCGGCAGTACCCACCGATTACAGAACATCTGAGATAAGGAGAGGTAAAGAAAACGCATGTTTATCGCACGCCATTTTTTTACGGGATACATTCGGCTTTTCTACGCATAACGTAAGAAAAGCTTGTGATATTCATCAGCGGACTTCAAGCGGTGGACTCGATGGAGGATGATTTCTTCCATCTTCCCAGCTTCTCTATTCCCTGAGAATTGATTGTTCCGGATCATAAACGTATACTCAACTCTTTCGGGTTGTCTGCAGATTTCTGAGGCAAAGAGAAAAGGGGTTACCTTGCGTGGTTCTACAGAGAGTTCGTTATCTACGATGGAGACTGCCTCAAAGCCTAAGGGAATCAGGATCTTCTCATAGCTGCATGTTATGATTATGAGTAGCCAAAGACAATTTTAGGTAGTAGACTATTTCTGTGTGATTGTGCTACAAGTTGGATTAACTTGTAAAACATTGCAGAAGGGCTAGAAAATTACTCAGATGCTGATACTACGTATGGCGGCACCCCAAAACGGTCATCTAGCTGCAACAAACACTCCGTCTTTCAATTTTTGACAATCCAATATTAAAAACTATGATAACATGAATGAAACAGAAGAGAGAATGATGTGGGTGGGTAATTACAGGAAAAATCAACGTTACAAGCTCCCCACCGGGCTTTAGAAGCTCCTGCATACGTTTTGCCCATAATGGTCTCCTGTCAGGACTGAGGCCGCAGAAGAATCTGTGGTAATTATCAGAATGCATGCATCTCAGGCGGGGACGTACTTTTTACAGGAACCACGAAACATGTTAAATTTACACATACGTATAATCGAAAATGAGATCAAATGGTTCCGCTGGCTGCCAAGTGAAGAAGTCTCCTTTCAAGAATGAAAAATATTCTGCATTTGGCAATGATGAAAACCTCTGCATCGAGATTAAACAATGCATCAAACTTAAATGCGAAGCCAAGATCTAATGGGCCTGTTTTGGTCACGCCCTTTTTCATTTTCTGACTTGACAAAAACTATCCACACCTTTTTCGATCTCTCAACAGCAGCTTCTGATATATCCAACCCAATGACACGACGTGTAGGGCATGCCATTGCTACCACATCATAACCCTGCAAAAAACATGTTTCTGTATTGGATTTTGAAAAGATAATATTGCAATGTAGTGTTTGAGCAATGGAGAATGACAATCATCACACAACCAAGGATGGCAGTGTCAGAAACATTTTGATGAAGAATAATGCGCCATCCATCGTTACATGTCTGTGAAAGGGTATAGTAAGTCTGTGGATGAGAATGGTTTCAATGACACTCATTGTGATAATCAAGCCGCAACAAATTTTCCCAACAGGTGATTAAGATGTCCATGACAACGCATTTTCATACGCTTAAAGTGCACCATTGCTAATCCACAATAAGCAGAGCAATATGGAGTGTTAGGCAGTGATTCAACAGAGCAATACTTTGGAACAACATCCAAGAACTGTTATCCATGGCAAATTCTAACCAAATTCCGAGCCTTGAGGTGCTCAAAGATGGGAAATAGGAAGTAAAGGACCACAATCTAACACACAATCTAGGCAAGTAGAATGGAAGAAGATTCAAGGGGAAAGACATTTGATACTCACGGATCCACATGCTGGGATTAAAACCCGGCCATCAGGCAACGAATCCGTCTCGCAAAGATGAGCAACGACGGGAGTAGGTCCTCCCAAATCCCATGGTGTAACTCCCAGTTCCCAGCACTTTTGCCACCCACCTAATTACACAAACGCACAACATAGCATAATCCCTCAAAATGTCCTTGAATCGGACAGAGAACAACAATTTCCGGCAGACAGACAGATGAATTCTCAATCAGAAATTAAACTGGAAAATTCGTTCGACACGTAACATCTCTAGGAATGAAGAAAAGGGCACTCATCTTCTTCACCGATTTCCATTAACTGATCCAAATTGATAGTTTCAGATATGGGGAAACTAGGGTTTAAGCGTATACCAGATGGGTCTTGCGTCACCATTTTTCGCGCGAAAGCGACTTGTTCGGCAAACGTCATCATGATCGCGCCGTCGGCTTCAGGACACCCTTTGAGAATTTCCATGAGTCCACCGGCAAAGAACGGAGAGAGCTTTCCGGCGAAGTGCTTCTACTTTGGACGTCGGAGAGAGGCCGGCGAAAGCAATCGGAAGGGATCATGCAATGCCAGAAGCACTCAGCTCTTCGTGGTTTTTATAGCGGTACCCGCGTCTTTTTATTTTTCTAATATTGTTTTTCTTTTATCGGCTAATTTTGTAATTATATTTTATGAGTCCGTGTTTTCTTTGATGTAAAACTTCATAAAAACTTATAAATTATTTAAAGCATTGAATATAAATACAGAAGTTGTTAGAAAATTTACATGATAAAATATTAATTATTTTTGGTTCAATATTGATTCCTTAGGTATCCCTTGATCCAAAATTTTCAAAGATATCCATTAACTGTTTTATTTACTCAAAAAAACTTCTACTTCAAATTTGTTATAAACAGTTATCAACTATTAATTTTAAATAAAAAATATTATATTTTTGTTATAATTTACATAACCATAAAAATATACATTAGCTTTTATATACATAATTTATATAAAAATATATTATTTATAATATTTCATTCACTATTTTTTAACATGATATTGATGGTTTGGAACAATTAAAATACAAATGAATCACGAATATAACCAAATTTTAATAGTTATAATTATCGATTCAAACAATAAAAAACTAAAATTTGGTTGTTAGTTTTGGTTTGATGTTGATTTTTTGTATACTCCTTTAATTGCCTTAGCCTCAAAGTCCAATTTTGTGGACTTATTTATGTCTACGTTTCATAATTTTATCGCGGAAAATTAAAAAACTTTAAAAAACGTTTAATTGTTTCCATGACACAAAAGTCAACTACTCCAAATTTGTAATAAAAAATCATCAAATATTAATTTTGAGTAAATTATTAAAAATTGCAAATAAATGTATAAATCATTTTTATTAAATTATACGAATAGATATTAATTCTGATTTCTGTTCTCCTTAATTGCATCATCCTAAATATCTAACTTTCGTGGACTTGTCTATTATGTCTACAGTTAACAATTTTCACGACCAATTCAAGAGGTTCGTGACACTTCAAAAACATCATCTAAGACAACATTCTATTACAAAAGTGGGATGCAACCCAAAAAGTTACAAGGAAAAAGAAAAGGACAAAATAATAGGTTGGGGTCTGCAGTCAGTGACTACTAATTTACAAAGGGATCATGTCTTTTCCTCGTTCAAGGTTAAACGAGGAAGAAGATGATGAAGGTTAAACGACCGATCCATCCATCAATCCAAGTAGAAGAGAGTAACAATCTTGCGTACAGATTTGGCCTCTTGACAGGTCTCCATGAGCAGTTTGCTGTCGTGGAAAGCAAAGCAAATCACTTGTTGTACTTGTGATATGATGTCCATGTTACAGAGCCTGCAACATCGACGAGTGAGTCACGCTGGTTTTTTCTATGGTCGTGACCGACAAAGGAGAAGCTGTCACGAACCTGCTGGCCTCTATCAATGGCAAATGATCGTTGTGAGGCTTTTCTATCACGTTTTTCACCTGTGGCACCCGGACAAAAGAGATTCAGATGGATTTCTTCTCAAGACAGATGAATTAGATTTGGAGGAGTTGGGCAAAATCTTTAATCCCCGTTGTCTTACTTTGGACAACAGTTCCTGGCTTTCAGGAGGCTGCTTTTTCAAACTCTGTGGCAAGATCACTGTAAGCAGTTCTGGTTTCTCTGCTCTCAATGCGCCTCTGATAACTGCTGCGTTAGTCCCGGATGCACCCGAGGTATATATATGATTTTTCTGCAATACAAAGCAAAATCATGGGGCAGATTATATGAAACATGAGTGAAAATTTGCATACAAGGCCACAGAAAGAGATGATGGTAGAACAATGCGGGATCAAAATCGAATGTCTCACTGTTATAACCATGGCATAGCTCAGAATCTCGATCAGCTCCTGGTGCATGAAACCCATATTCCGTGTTCCGAAGAAGCCAATGGATCTAGGCCCTTGTTGCTGTATTGCCAGCAGCTCCTGCCAATAACAAACACATGGTTACAACATTGGTTTGTATTGCAAATGCTGCAAAGCAAGAGCTTTATTTCTACAGGCGAAGCTACAACCATTACAGATTTGCCAGAGATTACGGCCGTGTACCTGTATATAATCTACGTCAGGGACGGGTTGCACCTCCGACACCGCAACTGACCTGGATCCTTCAACGAGAGACTGAGCCTGACTCGGGATTCGGATCCCGGTACCTTCATCGGATTCAAGCACACATGACACTTGATCTTCTATATTTCCCTGATCCTCCAAGTCAGATTGATCTCTAACGTGTTCAGGAAAGCACTATATAGCAGAATCTAAAGTGAACAATCCAATATGGAAAACTAAAGTTCTTCGAGAGGCAAAAACAGTGGAACAGAATCTAACCGAAATGGGCAAGTTACCGTTCCCAAGAACCCTAATTGAGTGAATTCTTAGTATACAGATCAATACACTGCTTGCTTTCATAAACTAGTCTGAGTAACATGTAATCCTCCTGTGTGTTTCATCGATTTTGGAAGGAAGGGCATGGACGTAACAGAACAATCTTCAAGAGACAAAACAGCAATTGTTCAAGCGCAACTGAGAACTCGTAACACAGCCCCAAAGAAAAATGTTCGGGACCAGTGGCTATAACGCGTGAGCATAACCAACAGAATCCGGAATGAGCGAGGAATCGAGAATTACCATGGGAGCGGGAGCAGAGGGAGAGGAGGGTGTGTATTTTCGGCGTCCTGGGAAAAGCTCGGCGTGAGAATGAGACTGGGAGGAGGACGAGGAAGAAGAAGCCGAGGAGCAACGGCGGTGGAGATTAGGGAACGTCGATCTGAGGAATGAATGGGAATAATACGAATCTAGCGGAGGAGAAATGAGGGAAGTGGCGAGAGGTAACAAGTGCCTCGGAGGAAGAGCCGAACTCATTTCCCACATTCTCTCTCTCTCTCTCTCTCTCTCCGATGTCGGAGGAATTTCGTCGGGAGGAAGAAGATAACACGCACAGTCACAAAACAGAGGAATAAAAAAAAAGTCCGACAAAAAAATTAATTAAAATTTCATTTTCATTTTTTTATAAATATTACTTGCCAATCGCGAGAGAGAAAATAATTCATTTCGGAGAGTAATTCCTCGTGACGAGTGCCCCCTTTTTCAACTCTTCGGACGATCTAGAGAGAAATAAAACTGAAGGTTTACTTACACATTAAAATAAGCACATATAGTTTTCCATTTGCATTCTGTGATATTATGATGATGCCTTAACCATGAAAAACCGGTCCAATCATTTTAATTAGGGGTGGGCACTTCGGTTCGGGAATTTAGTACCGACCCGATCCGTCCCGAAACCGAACCATACCGAACCGAACCGAATAACGTTTGGTTCTAATTTGGTACACTTTTTATAGAACCGAATGAACCGTTTCCGAACCGAACCGTATGAATACCGAACCAAAATTCGAATATTCCACTAATATATGTGTAAATATTATAGTTCGGTACTTATTTGGTATTCATATAATGGTACCGTTCCGAACCGAACCGATACTAAAACCGAACCGAACCGAACCGTTTAACATTCGGTTCTAGTTTGGTACACTTTTTATAAAACCGAAAATACCGTTCCCGAACCGAACCGCTTGAATACCGAACCGAAACCCGAAACGCCCACCCCTAATTTTAATTGTATAACCGGAAACAGAAAGAAAAAAAGATACAACAAAGCGTACGCAATTTACATATAAAAAACAAAGGAAACATGATTGAGCATTGAGATTTGATCCACCATATTACATATATATATATATATGTGTGTGTAAGTATATTATATGTCCCACCTCTTCTTGACACGGAACATTAAGGTAGAAGACTTGATGTCATCTTGAGGCACTTGAAGCATGAACTGAACTTTCATCTTCAATGGCGATGCCTTCACTTTCCCTGCTTCATCCCCAACCTGCACATATCAACAACACCCCCTCACTTTTTTTTCTCACTAATACTTGCTTTCCCCCCCCCCCCC